AAAGCTTTTCCCCCCGCCCCCCCCCCCCCCCCCGAGTCTGAACTGAACTGGGAAGCCTGAGAAATCTCTTGAGTGAGCCTGAGCTTTTCAGCCCAACTTTACACCCTTCAGGGGTTTGGCAAAAAGCTACTTTTAAGCAGAACGTTACAACTAAAATGAGCTGAACAGAGCCCAAGTGACTAAGGTGGTTGTATACAAGGCACTTGCTTAGTTCTTTTCAGGAAGGCTTTCAAGTTTAAAATCCTGACTGTGGCTCTGCACTGCCTGACGGGTGCTGGAGTTGCTGGTATCAGAGAAGAAATTAGCAAAACATGTTCTCGTACCATTTGCAATGCTTGAAACTACGTTGGGATCCATGTGCGTCTGGTGTAACGATGGTGGGTCAAACACAGTGATGTATTAAGCAGGCATGGCTGAGGCCGTCTTCACCATCCTTCAGTTCCTGGTTGCCTGAGACGTATGTCCACTGCTGAAGCACCCTGCCTTGTAAGCTGTCCTGGCAGCCGTTTCCCCTGACGCTCACACACAGGGTTATGGTTTAAAAGTGCAGTGAATTGGGAACAAACACACACCCTGTTCATCTGTCCCTTGCCCAAGTGACTGCACCCGGAGGACAGAGCTGGACAGATGAGGACAGTAACTAGGCCAGCAGCAGATTCCCTGAAGCTCTCCGGCATCGCTCACCAGCCACAGAAAACAAGCCCTTGGAAGTGCGATGGCAGGGGGTGCCTGGCAGCATGTCACGTACCTGCTGCCTTGGCCAGGAGGGGACGGGAGGTGGTGTAAGGGATTCCGTGCGCTGCAGAAATGCAAGTGTGAGGGGAAAGGGGCAAATTCGGGAACTCCTAATGTAGACCAGAGTGTGTTTATCTTCAGTCTTTGTGCAAGCAGGTTTCACTCTTTGCCCAGTACACACAAGAGAGATTAACTGTAGTTGGCTTTTCTCTCGATCAAACCAAGGTGGGTTCAACCACCAGCAAAGTCGGAGGATTTGGGGCTGGTTGAGCTTTAGTTTACTGTAGTCAATGAAAAGACTCCAGATCTCTTGAGCAGGTACTTTGATTTGCCCCACAAGGGGGTGAACCGAAATCTGGATTCAGGAAGCAACAAACTCCAAAGAGCTTTGGCGCTGCCCTCAGTTCCCTTCTCAGGGTGAAGGTGTCTGGTTCCGATGCTGGTGAACTGTTAAGCACAAGGTTATGGTGACAGACAATAGGGCGTGAGCTCTACGGGGAGCATTCGGTGGTTTAAATCAGCCAAGCACAAGCTGTTTCTTCTGGCTTTTTTTGTGTGTTTTTGAAATACTGTTATGGAAACTATGTATTTTTTAAAATTGAATTTATGCAAACACCTTTGCTGGAACCTATTGGAATTAGGTATGCATTTCATGCCCAGCTTTGCCAACAAAGTCTCAAATCCACCAAGATATTCGGGCCTCTAAATCTCATTGAAATAAATGGAGGTTAGGCATCTAAATCCTTCTTGAATCTGGCACCAAATCTGCTTTGACTCCTTTCCCTGTTGTGGCCTTTTCATAGTGGTGTCTAATTTGGGGTTTATGTTGCAGCAAGATGCTCCTACCTTAGCCGCGCTTGCCTCCTTTCTCCTGCAGAACTCCCGCTACCAGACGTACCAGCGGATGTGGAACTACATGTACTCCAAGCAGCCAAGCGTCTTTGTGAAGAGTACGGAGGAAGGGATTGCGCGCGTGCTGAACTCCAATTACGCCTTTCTGCTGGAGTCCACCATGAACGAGTATTATCGTCAGCGCAATTGCAACCTCACGCAGGTCGGGGGCCTTCTGGACACCAAGGGCTACGGGATTGGCATGCCCGTCGGTAGGCAGTGAAGAAAAATTCTAGTCCTTCTCAGCTGTCGGCAGAGGACCGGAGCATTTGAAAGGCTGAACCGGCTTTAAAGCCAATGTCACGTTTCACAGCTCTGCCCAGGGTCATTTTTTTTATCTCAGGAGGAAAATCAAATACATTGCAGTTGCCCAAGGTGCATGCTCAGAGCCAGATGACGAGACCCTGCTCTGGTCCAGAGCCATGTGACACGCGACTGTGGCTCTTTAAATAATTCATGTGAAAGATGTTTCAAAACTGCTGCTTATTTTCTGCATATGTGCTCTTTGCTGACTGTTTCCTTTTTGAACCAGTGTTTTTGAATCATTTTGTGCTCCTTGTTTTATCTCAGAAGTGCTGTAAAAGTAATGCTGTTGCAACTCTTTTAGTTTTTAGCACAAGTTTCCTAACAGCTGGTGGTTCTTAAAACTCCAGGACAGAGAATTGGGCAATTCAGTGACTACCTCAGCTAATAATCAGGTTTAACAAATGCAGGGTTTTTGTCTTTCAAATATGAGAGCTAGCAAGAGAACATCATCTCCCAGGGCAGCACGGAAAAAGGATGTAGTAGATGTTATTCCAAGCGATCAGCTGATCTTTCGGCCAGTCTCGCAGGCTCGGGAAGCCTTGTTCCTGACCTTTAAGCACCTGCACTTAGCAATACAAAGTTAAGGTGAATTACATAAGAACCGTCACACAAACAGTAACCATAGTTTAGCTAACACGTACAAGCTTGTAAAGTCACAGTAACCTGATTGTGAATACAAATCTTTACTTTCAGGACTAAATTTGTTCTGACATTGTCTTGTTAAACAGTGAAACTGTAGCAGATAAGAAGAGCAGAAAGCTGCTCGCTGGGACAATAGTGCAGAGTTAACAGGAGAACTGTGGTCTTTCCCACGGCCCTTCTTCTGGATCTCTGGTAGCTGGCATCACGAAGACTGCCGTAGAGCTCGGTACTGAGCGCAGAAGCGAGCCTCCTCTACCATCAACATTTGGGCTTGCATATAGGTTGAACTGCCTGCTGTTGCAGTGCACCAGTTTGAGGGAAGGAGTGTTAGAGCAAGGCTGAAGTTCGAAGCAGAATGACAGGAGAAGGGATCTCAGTGGTCTGGAGGAGCAGCGGTGCAAAACTGAACTGCCTCTTCAGACCCTGCCCCTGAAGCCCAAGCTCCCCCTGGTAATGGACCTCTTTAAATGGCCTATGTGGGTCTTGGTGGACAGGCAAAATTACCATCTGCATATGACATTAACCAGTTGACAGTCCCAGCAGGGAGGCAGCAGGATTCAAGGGCTTCTATGAACTGGAATACCTTCCAAACCATTCAGAGGCAAGCTTTTGTAGTGGGGCACACTGGCAGGGCATCGTGGCAGGGATGAGTGGGGAGGAAGGCTGGCCGAGATGGTGCCTTACCACATACCTTTTGGTGTTGCAGGCTCTGTGTTTCGCGACGAGTTTGACCTGGCCATTCTCCAGTTGCAAGAGAACAACCGCCTGGAAATCCTGAAGAGGAAGTGGTGGGAAGGAGGCAAGTGCCCCAAAGAGGAGGACCACAGAGCCAAAGGTAAGCCATGCCGCTCTCCGGTAACGTGCTGAAGGGACTAGGCAGTAGAAGCATCCCTGCCAGCAGTGCAAGGATGAACATCCATCTGCACATGAGCACTGCCAGGTTTTCTGCCTGAGAATTACTTTTTCCCCTTCTTCTGACCTGAGATTCCTTCCTTCACAATTCAAGGAGAAAGCCAAACAGCTCTGCTGTGCCTCACGCTGTGTGTTTTTGCCTGGGGCAGAGATAGCGGGAACAACCAAATGACAAATATTGGAGGCATATGGAGGGTAAATTAGCTTCTAATGAATGTCTGGGAAAATAGATGGCTAAAGGGATCAGACCAAAATCCTGGGTTCCTTCAAGGGAGATGGATCTCCACCACAGGCCCGCTGGTTAATGGCTCCAAGTGAACGCGCCTTTTAAATAGCCAGGGGAAGGGACACAAGGACTTTGTTAGTACATCTGTAAACCGAGGAGCAAATTCTTTTGGGTAATGCTATGCAAATTGCCATAAAATCTACCACATTACGCTGATGTCCCAGTGTGAGAGCAGTTGCCAGCTTAACACAGTTGCTGCATTTTTTAGTTTTGGCAGTCACCGTTTCCTCAGCAAGTGTTTTCTGAGAGGCTGGCGGGTCCCCCAGTTGAAAGAACAGTCTTCTGACCTTTCTGAGCACAGAGATGGAGAGCCAAGCCGGGTCCGTGGTAGCTCTTTTGTTTTCTTGACATTGCAGCAGGTGTAGGTGTGTGTGTCTGTGCCGTTCGTGAGCTAGGCTGGATGAGACCCCACGGGGAGTGTGAGCGGGTGCTCCCTGTTGGGCAGTGCTGCACTGCAGGCAGCCCGGGCTGTTAGTCTCGAGACAGAAGGTGCTGGTCCAGTGTCAGACATCAGGCCTCAGGGCAAGGCGATAAGCTAGTAAAGAAGTTCCTTTTGAAGGCAAGCAGGCACATGGGAGTCTTCTCCTCCGTGGACTGTGCAAAAAGCCACTCTGAAGGGGAGTCTAGTCTGTGTGCTGTTTTGAGGTGGCTTTGGAGGGGGGCAGCTGGGAAGCAGGCTCCTGGGCTGTTTCTGGCACTACCCAGCATGCTCTGTGACCCTGGACAAGTTTTTCTCCTGTTTTGTGCCCTCTGTCATGGCTCACTTTCTCAGTTTGGGAAATGAGGAAGGCTGTAGCCTGCTGATATGTGTAAATGGAGGAAGGAAATACCCACTCCCAAGCCCATCAAGAGGTATCTGAGGCGGCATCCAGGTAGAACGATAGAAGGATGTAGAGAGAAGTACTGGCCCTAAATTCAAATTTGAGAGCTGCTAGGTGGAGAGGATGGCCTTTATCTTTGGTCTAAACTGTGATTATGAGCTATGTTTTCTGCCCTGCAGTTGTTGTCTTAGTGAAGACATCTCTGTGAAGGGCTGATTTACAGAGTCACTAGATTGCTCCGGAGGCAATGCCAAAAGAATGACGGAGGAGGAGGGAGAAATGTGACCTCCTAAGTTTTAGAACAAAACAGGTCAGCTATTTACAGGGATTTTGGTGAAATTTTATGTCTAAAAGCCACGCAGAGATTAAGTCAATAAATCCATTGATTCTTACACTTTGATTTAATGCTACAGAGGGGAGAGGAAGATTTTTATAGATGTTCTTGTTGAGTAATGGCCTCATACAGTCACCTCAGTGCAAAGCACCGCATGCTTTTTAGTAATCAATCCAATCAGGGGCCCAGTCCACTTGAAACCCGAAAGCAACAAGCACAGGAGAGAAGAGCCGTTTCTCGGACAGCGTGTGCTGAGGCCGGCACTGCTCCCCGGCTCCTCTCACAGTCTTGTTCCGCAGGGCTAGGCGGAGGCACAGGCTGCGGTTTTGGGGACAGGGGTCACGGTGGGAAGTGAGGTGACAGCCTCGGCACACGGAAAGCTCAGGCCAGGTTCTCGAGGGGTGGATTTTCCTCCCAGCTGATGAGCTTTCTGGAGTGCAAGCCGTGTAGGACAGGGCTGGCAGCTGCCGTGCATGCGATTTAGTCCCTCCTCGAAGTGAAGCTGTCCGCACGTGCGGCATTTGGCCCAAAGCGGCTGAATGGCTCCTGTGATCCGTAGAGAAGGTAGTCATCCCGTTGTCAGTTGTCCAAGGGAAGTGAGATGAGTTGCCCCACGGAAGGGGCTGTTTCCTCCTCACGGGCCAGAGGGTGCTGGGCAGAGAGCACCCAACCTATAACCAGGTACCCCTGGGTGGCAGGCACCCCGTTCAGTCACCATATAGCATGAAAGTGTTGGGTCCTGGCCTTGTTTGGAACCTCTCCTTGGTACTGCAATACAAGCAGCTGTAAGCATTTTCCACCAGCACTTTGTAATGCAATCAAAGGCGCTTTTCTTGGTGCCAGATCCCTTGAAAGCCCTTTCTTGTCTTCTTCATCTCTGCTTCTTTAACAACATTGCTCATTTTCCTTTGCAAAGTTCAAAGCAACTAGAGCTGGGCGAATAATTTGCAGGGATTAATGTGTCCGATTGATCTCTCATTTTTTCTCCTGTTTTCAGTTTGTCCACAAATTGCTTTGTACTTCCCTTCAATGTACTTGCTGTTTATCTGCAAAATCATCATTTCTGAGAACGCATCTTCGATCATGCAGCTATTGCAAGTCATTTGGTTTGCCATCTGAGTCATGCGGTTAGCTATTAATAGGACAGTGCTGGCTATGTGTTTTTGGTCCCCGGCTGGGTACATGTAATGCCAACTAAACAGCAAAAGCATTGGGATTTCTGTACAGCGATGCTTGCAATTTATGTTGTGTCTGCCTCTGCACAGCATTGTCTCTTCTGCTTTATTTTAGGCCTGGGAATGGAGAATATAGGTGGAATCTTCGTGGTTCTCATCTGTGGCTTAATCGTAGCAATTTTTATGGCAATGCTGGAATTTTTGTGGAGCCTTCGGCACTCTGAACAGTCAGAGGTAGGACCTGAAATTGTCCTGAGGTTTTAGTGTGTTTTCATTGCTATCTGCGGGGTGCTCGGCAGTGCAGTGCTCTGGAGCAAGTAATGCACCCAGGCTGAGATGAGCGTTCCCAGTAATGAGACCTCAAACGCACAAGAAGGCTAGGTGCATTGGGCAGGGTCTAAAATGCACGAGCTTCTCATGCACTCCTACTAAGATCAAGGCTGTAGGGATGCTCCAAGGGCTTTTGAAGGGATCAAGGATGTGTGCAACGTCCAGGTACCTTTCCTGGAGATGGCATCACCTGAGGATTTCTACCAGCAATGGGTTTGGGTCTCGTGTTGATTTGGGGATCCAGAACACAGGAGGGCCTCTGACAAGAGGCGGAATCTGTTGGCCTAAATCAAGCGTAAGTGTCCGAGCATTGGTGTGGAAAGCCAGTGGCCAGATTAACGACCGAGTCCGTAACACTTTGGCATCAGAATCCAGAGCAGACGCAGCGCTGCTGGGCTTGCAGCTTACTTAGGTGAGCAGTATGTCTCGGGTCTGCCTTCCAGGTGTCGGTGTGCCAAGAAATGGTGACGGAGCTGCGCAACATCATTCTCTGCAAGGACAGTTTCCACCCTCGTCGGAGGCGAGGGGCAATGATACGGACTCGCCCCGTTATCCCGGAGGAGCGCCGAGCCCGCAGCACAACCACGCTCAGCAACGGGAAGCTGTGCAGTGGGGGCGAGCCAGATCCACTGGCACAAAGACTGGCACAAGAAGCCGCCCTGGTTGCCCGAGGGTGCACGCACATCCGTGTGTGCCCCGAGTGCCGCAGGTTTCAGGGCCTCCGGGCACGGCCATCTGCGGGCTCGCCCGCACAGAGCGAAGAGAGCTTGGAGTGGGAGAAGACCACCAACAGCAGCGAGCCCGAGTAACGCTGGGGCAGGGGGCGTTGGGGTGGGCCGAGAGGGTCCTGTTCCATTTTACAGAACACGGACTTGTACAATGTCAACTTGTTTTTAAATTAAAAGCAGTTACCCAGCTTCTCCAGAGCAAGGCGGACCTTTGGGCTGACGCGCAGGCCTGGCCAGGGGGTCGGCTTTGGTTTCGGCGTCGGAGAGGACGCGCGTCTTGCTGAAGCCTGACGCAGCGGGAGCGAGCTCCTCCGGCTGGCCTGTATCCGGCAGTTGTCTCCGTGCCACCGTGCGGCTCCGAGGCAAGAAGAAGGGACGTGGCGGGTAGCTGGCGTGGCAGATATTGCCCACCCAGGGGCAAGAGCGGTTCTTGGAATTTCTCCACCCCAGGCCAGGAGAAAGGACGCTGGCTCCGTCTCCCCGTCACGTAGACTTACCAGGGGATGTTTTCAAAGGGTGGGGGGAGGGTCTTTTTATTTGGTGCGGATAAAGGATGGGAAGGGAGGAGCCGTTGTTTCGTTTTGGTTTATTTTGGGTACATCATGACCTAGTCTTTAAGGCACCGGGTTTCAGGTGCTGAACTCTTCTTCCTTTTCAGAGTGTGGCAGGTGGACTGAGGAAGGAAGGGAAGGATGGGATGGGACACGCTCCCCCTGGGAAGGAGCATTGGCTGAAGGTCCATCTGAGGAGTTATTAAAATACATCTACATATAAATATATATATACACATAGATATATATATATTAAAATGCCAAAAACCAACCAACGAACACAGTGAACTCAAAGAGGCCTTGAAACGTCTGGAATTTCAGGGGTTCTGTGTCTTTTGTTTAGTTCTGGGGTTATCTTTTGCTTTTTTTCCTTTCTGTTTTTAGGGTGCGGGTGGGAGAGCCTTTTGAGGAAGGTGAGGTGGGAGCAGGCGAGAGTGGGGAGCGCTGGGGAAGGCTGCCCTTTCCCGCCAGCGGAGGGAGGTGGTGGTATTTGCTGCCCACTGTCGCTCCCCAAAGCGTCCATGGCCCGTGCTCTGCACGCTCCCGAACAAGTGACTCTGAGCTCTGCTCCAGGCTCGTGAGCTCCTCTCGTCCATGATCCACGGAGCACCCTCAGCTTCGAGGATGACTTACAGCCCGTGTCTAGCAGTGACGATGCCGCACAGCATTTGACAAAACCATTAGCCCGGGATCTGATGTAAGGAAAATATTTACTTCCCTAGCAACAGCAGCAGCTCACCCTCTGCTTGGTACAGATGTGGGTTTTACATTGACAAGTTTAATTTTCGGATTGAAAAACAAATTCTATGCAATTTCTGATTGTAAAAGGAAAGAGACAACAATGGAGAGGGGCAGGGGAGAGAAAGCCTTGAGTGAAGGTACATCCTGTTCTTGAATTGTTTTCTTTTCTTTTTGTCTTGAATGTACTGAAATAAAAGATGTCCTTGTATAATCATGCTTTTCTTTCCTCTTTCCTTCCCTGTCCGCACTCACAAAAGTCATGAGACAGTTTGAGGCCTGTCTGCTCAGGGAGAAACCCAGCAACTCCCCACCTGAAAGGGAAGACGTGCTTTGGCTGTTGCAGTTCTCTGCTGCCTGAGTGCATCCACACCCGTGCTGTTGCTGTTATCTGTAGCTGAATGGAAACGGGAGGAAAAAAAAAAAAAAAAAGAGAAGTCCAAAAAAAGAAAGCCCAAGATATGTGGTGGTAAGGGGGGAAAGAACCCATAACTAACAGCAGTGCAGTCTGTCCGGGGTCCCAGGTTTCCACGCGATGTGGACCATGGCAGTTACCGCCTTCCCAGACCTCCTGGTTGGACCCCGTTGACCAGGGCTGAGGGTTAGGTGCAGCGGGTCAAATCCATCATGTTATCTCAGGCAGGAGCCCGTCTGCAGCAGATGTTTCTGAGGAGGATATGCAGGGAACAGGATGCGATGCCATGGCGATGGGCACGTTAGGCTGGTTCTGTTGTTTCCAGCAGCATGTGAAAAGAAGCGTCTGCTACACAGCAACAGTAAAATGTGCATGCTCGGAGAGTGCTTGTGCAACAAGGAGGAGAGCATTTAGACCTTGTTATGCAGGATGTCATATGAGATGTTCACAAAAGTCCTTTCTGGCCTTCATATCTGTAAATCTGTGGGATGTTACCCTCTCCTGCACTGAACAGAGCCGTGAAGGTGCGAGCATGAGATGAGGTAAGGCTTCAGCAGAGCCCAGGAATCTGGTGCCGTGGGATTGGAGGGGCAGATCCTCAGCCGAGGTAAGTCAGCAAAACCTCCATCCCTGCATTCTGTAAGGATCTGGGCTTGGGCTTTCAAAGTACTGACAGCAACACTAGAGACATTTGAGTGTGCCTGTGTTGTGTTTAAAGGCCGACATGTTTTTACGAGCAGCAGAATATATTCATCAAAAAGAAGCTGCTTTTTAAAATTTATTTACAGATTAGCAGAAGAAAAGGCTCCATGAATCATTTATCAGACCTGATGTTTTTTCACCCCTTCACCGCAGTGAATAAAGAGGGATCTTGACAGAGCCAGACATTATTCCTCTGTTTCTGCAAAGATCTTGCAGTCATCTGCTCAGACAGTGGATGTCAGGAAAAAAATGATGAGAAACCACCGGGTTTCTCACTGTCTTTCCATTTTATCTCTCCTGTTAGCTTGCTCCACCCATATGGTATTTTATATCTGGGTCTGTATTTTAAGGAGATTTTTTGCATGTCCTTCTTGCCCTCTTCTCTCTCTCTCTGTTCGATGTGTTTGCACTCAGAATAGAAATGGACCTCGGAAGAGGAGTGGATGGATAAAAGCTGCTGTCACTTGGATGCATTTTCTAGTGTCTCTGTAGGTCCTGTATTTTCTGCTCACTGGTAAATAAATACCTACAGGTTTTATACTGGAGGGACCCCACAGCAGACAACATTATGCCTATGCCTGGGTTTCTGCTCATACACATTTGTGTGCCCAGATGGGTTTACATCTCACGTGTTCTCTCTTTCCCCAGTTTTTGCTGTCACCTCTGAAACTATTGTGGGGGCTCTTTTGCTCAGCCGTTCCGAATGCTAATGCAGTTCAAGATCTGGAGTGGCTTGCTGTCCAAAAGGCACTTTCACAGTATTGCTGTCTCCCAATAAAACTTGAGTAATTCTAGTAAGATATCTCTGCAAATTCTACTGGGAGCCGAAGATTAGATCAATTAAAATGTAATACTTTGCTTTATCCCCTCTGTTTTGTTTGATCCTCCTGCTGCCCCCTCTGTTCGGGGTGCCTGTCAGCGGGGCCGAGGGCTCACGTCTCTCCCTGCACTGACGTCCAATTCTCCAACCCTGGCTGGGTCGACAGCAGTCTGGCAGGTTCCTAACTAAAAGACCTGGGATCTGTCCTTGTGTGCTAAAACCCGTATTTGTGTTGTTATTCCAGGCAGTTCCATTTTCACCTAATGATAAAAAGCTATTTTCTCCCCGGAGGTTGCATGGGTGAAGGTATTAACAAGGCTTGGATGAATTGAGTGGTGTAAGTAAAATAGAAAAGGATTGCTCTGTGAACCATGAGAGCCCACAGGACTTTGGGAAGAAAGACAGTGAGCTATAAATTATAAAATAGAGACTGAACCCTTTGGACCTTAGTTGTCCTGAGGCAGAAATTTTTTAACCATTTCAGATCCACAGAAATCTTCCCTGCTCCTGCCCTGCCAAGTCTGCTTCTCTCTCTGAACCTTAAGTGCCTTACCAGGTAAGTGACCCAAAAGGTGGAGGAAGAGGCAAAAGGAATAGCTATTGTTTTGCTTTGCTTTTTTTGCAGTTACAGAAAGGGTCTGGAAGGGGTGTGAGTCCTAGCAGTCATATGTAGGCTGGTGGAGATACCTACAGCACTGGTAACTGCAGCTGTGGGCACAGGGTGACTGGGTTAGACACAGGAATCTGGGTAACTGGTTTTGATGGTTCTTGGGTGATGACTCTGAATGGTAAAGACATCCCTTGGGAAAAGGAAAGGACCTGTAGGCAAGGTCTGCTCGGTGGAGGCTGGATGATGACTTTGTTCTAAGCTTATGAAAGAGCAAAGAAGCAAAGACGGGCTGCTTTGGGGTGAAGCTGTCATGATTTGGCTATGAAAAGGCTGGTATGAGTGATCAAAGTCCCCTCCATTGGCTTTTGTTTCATTTAACTCTGAGATTAATTATCTGCAAGATGTGTTTCTCTCTTCTACTTCACTTGTGTATCCAATGAAGGTGATGAAATTTGTTGTGGTAGCTTTGACTATATGGCTTTGATTAGACGGAAAAAGTAGCACTGCGCATTAGAAGGAGAGCCTGCCAGTAAGGCACTGCTCTGAAGTAAGGGAAATAGCCCCAACGACCTAGAGGCATAAGTGGAGGCAGAATCAGGCCAGTGATCTGCAAAAGGAACTGCAAAGTGCCATCAGAAATGGTAAAAAGTAAGTCTGGGCTCACGCTTGATACTTGCAAGTCTGCTGAGTTTTGTCCCTCCTTGCTGAATATCTTAACTGTGAGGGAACAGCACGTCTGCCTGAAATGAGGAGCTGCAACCTGAACAGAGCTAGCGGAGCAATGGCTCAGCGTGACGAAATGCCTGCTGAACAGAGGATAAAGCACCCACAGTTCCAGGAACCCCATTAGAGTTTGATGGCCGCTAACTGATTGAAAATACAGAGCTGAAATCTTCTGTGTACAAAGTAGCATTGATGAATTCAGTATAAATAGGCTCCTCTGGAACTTGATACCACACTGGGAAAATCAGCTCTCTATCAACTGGATCGGACAATGGGCAGGTTTATGCATCCTTCAGGGGGATTTTTTTTTCCCTCGAAAGGGGAATCTGCTGTGCTCCAGTTAAGTTAATAGTCTGATTTGTGGCCGGACTGCAACATTTCGTCCCAGAAAGCATTCCAGCCGGCAGATGAGGTTCGCTTGCCTTGCCACCGATACGCAGCTGTCTGGGGTGGGGGGCTGTGCGGCAGTCCATCATCAGCACAAAGGGCCACACAACAGCGGCTCTCTGAAAGCTCTGCTGA